GAAGTGATACCTATAATACAGCAAGCTGTTTAAAATGCTGTTGTGATAGAACTTTTATATTATCCTGTCAAATGCATATATTAATCCACTGAGAAATCAAAATAATGTTCCCTGTATCTTAGCTTCGTATTGATCAAGGGATTTTTAAAATGGGTGTTAACTCCCCTTAAGATAATGGTTGCATCCAATATTAAAATCACGATGGCGATCCGGTTTCTGCTGGAAATATAGCCGATCGTATTACCCAAAACAGTTGGACCCACATTTCCAAGTGCTCCACCTTAGAACAGGTAGTCAAATCTGACATTGGCTGAAGCTTCTGTTTATATGGAAATAGTCATGGTGAAAGGCAAACTGGGTGGTCAAACAGTAATAAAAATAAGCACCCCATACTTCGCTCACCCCAATATGGCGTGTTTCTGATGTATCCATGTAGATTAGGCCTTTCTATCGGACAAACATAACTGACAATACCAATTACCGTGTTGTGCATAAGCGATATAAACACACAAATCGCTGTGAATTATCAATGTGTTTGGATTGAGATCGACATGACCCAGGATTAGGTGTTAAACCTATCGTAGTGTTGTATGCTAAAGTCATTTCATGGAGCGATGACAGTGTTCATATCTCGAAACTCGTCTAAAAGAATTTGTCTGGCACTGTTGTTTGGTAGAAATCGCGGGATGTGGTTTTGATTTAAGGTGGTGCGTTTGTCGCCCTGCAATATAAGAATGCCGTGCAACGGCTTAGTTTTGGAGTCGAGGATTGCAATCACTTGCTTTGAAGTCTAGATCGAGGATTCAGCGTCTTCGAAGGTTGTAGACACAAACACACATCACATATTGATATAGAGATAAAACAACGCCGATAGTAAGAATCAGTGATTTTTTTCCCTGGAAGCGAGAGCGTATGAAAGCTGATTATGACATGAAGTATTCAGCCTGGGATGAACCAGGATATGTTCCCAATAATAAATACAATGTTTAATTCACATTAATTGAACAGCAAAAAAATGGCTGGTGATGTGCTTAGAACTAAGAATATATTCAACGACGTCAGTTTGGTTTCATGTGTATGCTCACCATACCATCATTGTGTTTTATGTTTAGACGCATGTTTACACAGTGGCCAATTAACTAATTGTTCAACTATCGATTTGACACAGGTATCACAGATAAGATAATTGCGTTTTGAAAACAATTACGTTGATCACCATTTTGGTGTGGTTTGGCCTAAACAAGGACTCCACGTGTACAGCTAGCAATATGTCGTGGTATCATCAGTCTCCAGACACGAGTCGACAAATCCAAATCCGATTGAGACATCAGCTATGTTACCAGTCTCTACACGGTGTCACTGATCAGGCGCCGACTACAGAAACGTGATGAAATTTTGATATTGCATTTACGAGGGGTGAACGATATGATGATTGAAATGTTGTCAGATTAAAAGTCAATGGAGGATTACCCTAAACGTACCCTATCGACGTGCAGTTTACATTATATTTCACCATTCAAAACACACATACACACTCGCTGACGTTATGTATCCGCCAGACGGATGAAATGGTTGATGGCAAACTCGTCCTTTCAATGGGGAATGGACTGGATATACTGAATACGTGACACGACGTGACAATAATAAAACCAGTTTCACACAAGGACACAAATTGCTTGATGTCAGGATTATTATATGCTTTTTATGAACATTCTTATTCCAAAATACCGGAAAAAAACATTCTTACGAACATGATAACTTTAAGCCAAATGTTCAACAAAAGGCTCAGATAAAAAACGCAGAAAAAATATTCTCTGCGTTTTTTTATTTCATATTATAAAATCACTATTTACACAAAACAGTACAAAAGAGAAATGTACATTTTCAGTGATGTTTTAAACAATTACATTTCCAATCTCATATAAGAACAATTTGATAATTTAACATTCTCGTTAACATGTTCTCGTTATTGAATATGAAAAAAAGTGATTTTTAAATGAAAATTAACAGGATTTGTTAACGTAAAAAAATCACCATAGTTTGTTGTATATAGGGTTCGTGCAAATATAGGAAAACATTTGACTTCGTTTGATTCATTCTTGTTCGTATGTTCGAGCATTGACCTCAGAAATATGTTCAGTTATCGTTTGATAACATCAGAGATGCACGTGGTACGGATCATGAGAATGCGTTGTTTCAATAATGACTAACGCACGATATTATAACATTCAATGCCAATCATGTTTGAACAATCATACGGCATCTAACAACATAAACATATTTCTTACTAGTCCTGCAAAAAATTATAAAACCGGTCAAAAAAAAAGTCATCGCGATGCTGTCAACGTAATACCCATATGTTTTTTAAGGTCAATAACATTATTCCCTTTTTGGAACTGCAACAGTACTCGAATTCGATATTTTGGATATTTAGATGAAAGCTTTTACAGTCGCGGGGGAATTGGGGGATATGTCGATTGCCTTTCCCTGAGCAAATTGATTTGAAATGTTTCGTTCATCTTAAAATAATACTTTACTTCTACATATTGTGCCGATTCCGTGTTAATTGTAAATGGCTATTGATAATCAGTGTATTCTGTGATTCATTCAGTCTGTATATATACCATATGGTTATTTACATTACAAGGTGACAGTGTTCTGTGTCTGTTTATCGGTGCGTATCGAAGGAAATTGAACGCAAAATACCATTTTCGTCTGCTTGATTTATCTGTGCATTCACTATTCCATTCAATATTGTTCTGAAAAATTACGTCGCATGCACTTACTGGTTGGTTTGAGCCAATTTCAAGTTTCGTATCTACTGAACATGTGTACATTGCATTATGAGAAAGAAATTCTTACAGAGTACAATGGTGAAATACATTTGCATGTAATCTGTAAAAAATAAATAATTAGAAACAAATACACGCACATTGCTAAATTATCGGATGTTTCCACGTGATCGTATTTTGTATCCAAAGCATGTGCCGATATATTATTGAGTGTCTGAAAAGAAATGATACATCATTTTTACTTTTATCTGATTCTTCCTAAATCAACGCTGATTTAACAGAACTGTAAATGCCCCGGCTGAGGTTTCTGATACAAATGAAAAATACAAAAACATTGGAGAACTTCTAACATGATTGTGCGACCCATTATAACAGTATAAATGCACGTTCACATCCCGTTCACAAATATTCAAAAACGGACCATTAAACGGTGACACGTACACATTCATAATATCGAACACAGTACAGGGAGTAAATTGTATCTTGCTGTCGTTACATTATTCGTTACATTTTTTCGGGAAATCCGTAATATCGTACTTGTGTTGTCTGATTGTCGCTCGTAGAACTTAATACTAAACAGTATGTAATCGCATTGCTATATGCACCCCTCCCCAGTATGAGAACCAGGGTTTGTGGTCAATATGAGACTAGATTTCTAATGTATATTACCCTTACGAGCGTTGACCTTTGATAGAGGTGTTTTTAGACGATGAACCAAGTAGGAAGGTAAGTAACTTCTCCTACGCATGCATTAACAATATATGTCAATGGCTTTTGTCATTTTACATCATAAACCCTGAATATTGCGGATGTTGTTCCCAATTATTGAACTTCATAAAACGCCTTTTGTGACGTCAAGCACAATCTGGAGTTTGATTAAACGGATAAGATCGTCGTACAGCATGGTGCTGCAAGACACCTTGCATAACACTCGCCCTTAATCTTATATTCAGTGACAACGATAGAATTTTCTGAAATTGCTTCTCCATAATGTGCAACACATGGAGTACACATTTGTCATAGGATATGTACATTATGTATGTTGTTGGATTATGTTTTCACATTTCGAGACCTACATACGTCACCGTTTACTACTATAATATATGAAATGTACACCTAAAACCATCGAGTGGATTTGGAAAAAAGTATAACTTTGTTTTTGTTTGTATTTTTTGAAAGCGGCATTTTAAAAACCTTAAAAGATAAAAAAATATGTCATCAAAAAAATAGAAATAATAATTAATTCGTTTAATGCCACTCTGGGAAAATACATAAAAAACACGGATACATGGATAAAAAAATATAACTTTGCATTTTAAAAGCCTTAAAGATAAAACCCATGTCATTCAAAAATAGAAAAAAAATAATTCGTTCAATGCCACTCTAGAAAGATACATAAAACACGAATACACAAAGAAAATTCAAGAGAACATAAAATACAATTGTAACAATCCGGCCATGTCGAGGACGTATAAACGTGCCTTTAATTGGATTCTCATTTATTAGGATACATTTGATCGCTTATGGTGGCTGTAATTGTTACGCTTTAGTATGACCCATTAATCACGGCACTGTTCAATTGTCAAGTTCTAGTGCGAGCTAAAAGGTGGTAGTCATGGGCAACCTATTGTTGCTCATCACACTTCCGATCTTAACGATGTGGCACTCTTCAATTTCATAATTCCTCAAGCCGCCCACCATAGAGCCTGGTCTGAGACCTCATCATCGTGGTCATGGCAACTATTAAAGTAACAGGTACAATCATTATTATTGTTATTATAACTATTATTGGGGATAAACTGTTATAAATTCGTCGACAGAAAAACGATATGGTAGGTTGTTTCCACACACCACCAACAATATGAAATCGCGGTGTATCGTAGATGTTTATAAAACAACGTCTATCCGTGTATTTCTACTCCAAGAAGTTGACACGCACATTTGCACAATGAATATGTGTTCATTGTAGTGGCAAGTTGTTAATTATCCTGTTTGAACATCTCATAAAAAGCATTTCATATGACGTATTCGCGTAAATATGGTAGTAATAAAAGATTCCATATTGTACGGTACACATTTTTCATCCAATGATCATTAAAATATGTTAACGTTCTTTTAGAATCATCTGTCGTACTGCCGCCCGAGGTTATGAAAACAAGAGATCGTATATTAGCAATTCTCTCACTGGACCCACCACACTGGTTCTGTGCACTTAGAGTTAAGAACTCCGTCTCGTCTCTGTTGAAATCACGCACTGGAGCTCAGCCATGATTCCACGAGTTGTCGTCTGTCTCATGTTATTCTCAGTAGCGGTTACTTTATGCTTTGGTCTTCAAGAATATCCCTGTGACGGTGAGTGATATTTTGTTTGACTTTTAGTTGTTTTTGTGACTCTATTTAGCTACACGTAACTTCGCTTAATATTTCAATCACTTACGTCACCACACTAGCTATACTATTAATTAATTTATTGTGATTATAGCTACAATACACAATTGTAGTTTTCACTATATTAGTGAGTATTTTTTGTTGTTGGGACCTTATGATATCGAAAAGAAACATGGTAACAAGACAGATCTGATTCCTTTATTTATTATTATTCTTATCATTATTTATTTATTTAGAATTTCCTAGCTATATATATTATAAATATGCGCTGTACATATAATACTTAACGGAAATTCAAAAAATTATTGCAGATGAACAACTGGTGACTGAGTACCAAGGATTCGTTTGCCCCAGTGATGGTCTCTACCCAAATCCCGACGACTGCCATTCATTCTACGCGTGTTCGGATGGTTCCTTCATGTCCATTCCTTGTGGACCACCAGCCAGTGACGTGTACGACCCAGAAGCGTGGAGTTGCAGACCGGAATCATCTTTCACAGAAGATGAATTGAATATGATGTGTACTTAAGTAGGAACACTTCTAGAATTGACACGCATGCATTACGTGGCACTCCACATCCGCTACTCGTGTGTTGTAAGGATCATAAACTCATGTAAATCGGACCGTCTGTTGTACAGTGACATGTGAATATTTTCTACACTCTCTCGTATCGACGCCATTTGCGGATAGAAAGTAGGACATGTTTGTCTAATGTCTGGGACAACGAGTTTCGATATGTATAGTATTTAACTTGAATAAATATCCAACCGTCTGTTTATAGTTGACAATATGAATGTATATACTTGACCTTTACTTTTATTTATCAATACACATTACGTGTAAATTCATACAATGTAATAACTACTATTTCAATACATACACATACTGTTTCATAGTGACAATGGGGCGGGTTCTTTAGATTAAGCTCTCGATTTTAACCGACATTTTTACGGTATGGTTTCTTGCATTTCAACGACTACATTTGGGGAGATATAATACAGTTTATCGAATTGAACATACCCACCCAGATATTTATCAAACCTGTTGTTGGGTTTGCACATATTATACTGTTATTTTTGTTTCACAAAATGCACTACACAAATATATGTAATGTTTGTAATATATGTGACAGTTTAATAACAGCCATGATTACATACGAATTAGCAGTGAATAAACTTACAACAACAAATACATACTGTGGTAATTGTGAAATAGCCTAACACCACGGGTGAGGTGGGGTGATGTTTGTCAATTACCGTAAATACATTAAATATTTGACGTATATTTGTAACACTGCGAATTGTTGTTTTTTTCGAAGCTATATAAACATATACTAGTAGTATGGGACATTCTTGTAATATTTATGTATGTAATAAAAAAGTAGTTATCATGATTTAACTATTTATATCGCGTATATCACCTTATCGCTTAACAGCTATTTCGTCAGATAATGACAAAGCGCACCAGATATATAACAATATTATAACACATTCTGATGCGAAAAACATCGATAGCATAAGCACTGAAAGAATCGACTTATTTGATTAAAAAATCATTCAATTGCCATTATTAAATTTAAACTCAACGAATGACATTCCGTAATTATGTCACTGTCTTTTTGACTAACTATATAGCAGTGTGTTCGTTGTAGCACTGTCACCATACACAGTGGAAAGTATATCGAAATGCCTCAATTTATCGGTCTCTCGGAGAATGGCTGTTTTTTTTTTAAAATATGAATGACGTATGGACAACGTGTAAGCGGTCAAAAACTGACAATGTGCGGTTAATGTATTTTATTAAGTCAATATGGATGATTTTTTGATAAGGATTAAATAATTTTGATATTTCATCATTGATATAAATAATTTAGTATGACTTACAGGTAAATAAAAAAGCGGTATTGCCAGTAACCCTAAAAGCATTCGTTCAATGAAATTGTGAAGAGGTAAGTGCGCGAACGCATCCAATTTCATGTTAGGTAAATTACATGCAATTTTCACAACGCTATGTTGCTGTCAACATAAGCTTTTTATTATTGTATGATAAAACATATTATGTTTTCCCTATCAAAATATAATACCAAACAAAAATATTAAACATAATCAAAAACAGTTATCCATATTAAAATATCGCCCTATTCGATCATAGCGTTGGTGTGTAACCGTTAGTGCTAGAGCTATGTTACAATATGTGTTCTAATTGGTGATGGCGGTAGTGATTCGTAGTATACACACTATAAAGCAATTATTCGAGTGGTAAACGGTAACTTCTATGAATGATCGGCCTGCTGAATTGAATCGGTCGGGACACCTAGCATATGGAGGTACTTTAGATTTGCGTCAATCAATCAAATTTGCATGCAATTCTTTGACGCAGACAAGTCCCACTCGATTAGTCTCACGGCATGTAATCCCGGCGGGCACATATAACTTGTAAAAAAATGCGAAACAGATATGCCCAGAGA